ATACTTATATGCAAGGATTTCTGGTACCAAGAATTAACCAATTTCTGGTACCAAGAATTAACCAACCAATTTGCAACCAGATGCAAAGTTATTATGCAACATGCCCAATAAGATGCAACTCTATTATATGGCGCATATATATACTCACAAAACATGAGGATCACTTCTATGAAAACTGTCTTTGCATTTCAATTAACATGCACAGATTTAAGAGAGCAGTAGCCACACAAAGTTCTACTAGGTCTCTAGAAAATTCTACCAGGAAGGCATTAATATATATAATATGTATAATATATATATATATATTTATTTATGGTTCAAGGTAGGGCATTCACACCAGACAGCTACTGGTTTGTTGGCTATTGTCATTTTTTTATTTGACAATCTCAGGGAAAAGAGGTCAGTGCCTCTGACTAAATAATCAGGTATTGAGTGTTTTAAAAATCTTTGTAGCACACCAGTGTGCCGTGGCATTCTGGTTGAAAATTATTCTCTTGAACTATTTACTCTCTCTTCCCCACTAGCATGTACCTCCACAAGGGACATTCCTGTCTAACTTGTTGCCTGGGTTACCACCATATTGTTAATGCTTAGAGGGCTTCCTGGTAGGTCAGGTGAGAGTTGCCTGACTTCAGCCTCTATAATTAATGCCTTCCTGGTAGAATTTTCTAGAGACCCAGAAGAACTTTGTGTGGCCACTGCTCTCTTCAATCTATGCATGTTAATTGAAATGCAAAGACAGTTTTCATAGAAGTGATCCTCATGTTTTGTGAATTGAGAACTGGATTTTACCTAATATTTATAATTTATGGAATAAAGGTTTCTTGAAAGATGTCTAAATTTAACATTAACTGAGCATTTTTAGAACACACACCTTCTGTTATATGTCCCCATCTTCTTGATTAAAGTTACACAACGGTGTTTCATTTTCTAGGCTGTCTTCCCGCCTTTTCCTCATCTGCTCACCAAATCTAGTCTATTTCCTGCTCTGGACATCTCTCATCCCCTCCTGGGAACTGCTCTCATCACCTCCTGGGGCCATCTGCCACCTCTCGGGATCTCTGAGAGTCTCTGCTGATCTGTTCATCAGCTGGCTGTCAGGGTGAGTGCTCATGGCTTCTCTCCTGCATACAGTTCTTCTCCTTGCAGGACAGCATCCACATGTGATGGCAAAGCTGCTTCAAAATCCAGCCCTATCACCTTCCTTGACTCTTCCTTCATCTCGTTCTCTCACTCCAACCTCTGGTAGCACAGCTCTTTCTGTCCCTCTGCATACACCAGTCAGTACTGACCCGACCCTTGCGCAGGCCCGCGTGGCCATGCCTGACTCCATCTCTGAGTGCAGCGCTCCTCTCCTTCCTCCACAGCCCCGCCCAGAAGTACTCAGGAAGCCTTCAGTGATATGTGCATTGCAGTCCCTCCACCACTACCCTGCGCATACTTCTAGCTGCCATTGTTCTATTGTTGTTACGACAGTCCTTTCAAGCCCAAGGGACAGAATCACCCACTGTCCCATCTGGACCAGATTATATTTCATTAAATGGCTGTAATACTACTTCCCATCGTACATGCCATTCCTTCAATGTGATTTGGACATTCCTTCTATTGAGAGGCATCGTCTGTGTACCTTTTCCCTGGATATGGGTGATTCCTGCTGTGGGAACACAGCGGAAGAGATGCTATGTGATTTCTGAGCCTGGGTCATAAAAGGTCATTCAGCTCCTGCGCTCTCTCCCTTTGGACGCAGCCAGCATGCTGTGTGGAAACCCAGGCTACACAGGGACAACACATGTAGATGTCGACAGTCTCAGCTGCCAGCCATCACTAACTGCCAGCCCCAGCCACTGTCCAACCACTGCTGAACAAGAGCTCCCAGACAGAACCGCCTGGGTGAACCTGGTCAGCCCCCAAAACTATATGAGATAATAAAACGACTGTCACTGTTTCAAGACACTACATTTTGGGGGTGATTTATGGCACTGTAATAGAAAACAGGAACACCATTTGTGCAGAGCGGTAATGTGACTGCACCAGTCTGAATGCCTTGAGAACAGAGACTGGGCTTCATTCTGCCTCCGGTGGCACAGTCCCCAGCTTCCATGGGCACCCACTAAATCTTTGGCAGAGAAGTTGGATGACTTCCCCTTGTAGTACTGGCTTCACTCCTGGGCAGCGAATGGGCTCTCTCCCAGCTTCCTGTCATAGCACTGGAACCTCATTGTTAGATTTGCCCTTGTTGGGCTCTCTTTTAAACTGAAGACCACTCCTCCCTCTCCCTGGAACCCTGATGCAGCCTGAAGGAGGACCTTAGGACATGACACATTTCTCAGGGAAAGAGAGCTGAGTTCCTTGCTGTCGATAAAGAATCTAGGGCCTCAAGAAACACCAGGTGTCTAAGAAGGCAGGAAAGGAGGTACCATTGACCTTTGGCACTCACTCTTTGAACAGTTGATGACTTTGATAATCTGGGGCAAATCCGAAGGTTGTCATGACATGTCACTCTGCTGAGGCTGGCAGCTGAGTCATGTGTGGAGGCTGGTGTGTGGAATGAGTCACTGGGAGTCTCTCCTTCTCTACTGAATCAGGCCCACAGAGAAAGCCAACTTCCTGGTGCTGAGGATTAAAGTCTAAGAGAGTGACTGTTCTTTAGCAGAAAGTGGAGTTATACTTAATGGTATTTACATATTCTGGGATTTGCTGCTCTCTCCTCATGTGTTCTCCCTAAATGCCAGGGTCTCATACTCAAAAGGGCTAGGAAGGCAAGCTTCATTGACTTGTCAATTCTGGAAAAGCCCCCTCTGCCTTGCAGGGTGGATGTGGAGGGAATTGTACAGATATGCTGGGCTGCTTTCAGCAGGCGAAGTTGACAGGATGGCCCCACCTCAGCAGCTTCCTGCTGAGATCCTTGAGACCTGTTTTTGCCCCTGCCAGTGCCTGCCTCTATGCCTGCTTGTGGCTTCCTGGGCAGGTAAGAGGGATTAGGGTCCTCTCTCCACCATGTAGGCGTCATCATGCACTCCAGCTGGAGCAATTTCCTGGGGCCTTATGACACTATGGGCTATCAGCAGCTGGGTAAACTGAGGCATCAAGAATATCCACATTTTGGGTTTAACTAGTACAACCACCTATGGTATTAACTTTAATCAGGAGAGTGTCAGCCTACTTCCTCTAAACTGCAGGCTCGGGTACAAAATCATCCAACAGTTTCCTCATTAGAGTGAAATCAATGTAGTATCATGCTAAATTGGAGGTTTTGATTTAGAACACAAGTTCTAAGAAACTGTAGGTATCTGATACCAAAGATACCTATGACAGAGCTATCAAATTACACGTTCCCGAGTTGGCAGCCCCTCGCCCACAGTGAGGGTGTGAACTGGTGTGGAAGAGTCCAGAGGAAGACTGTTTTTAGAAAGAAGATTTTTTGGAGAGTGGTAACAGAGTAGCTTGCCTCTCACCTTAAACCTAATGAAAGGGGTTTCAGGGGCCCACTTCACAGGGATAAAAACTAAGCTGAGACTATTTTATACCTAAAATAACTGCATGCTGCTGCAACTTTGAAGCCCCCAGGTAGACCTTTGTTAAAGTGCTTCCTATCGTTCCAAACGACAACCACTTCCAACATCATCCGGAGAAACAGGCAAGGCTGGTGCTATTATCCCTCTTTGGCAGCTATGGAAAATGGTCCTGAAAGGTGAAGGCCAGAGAGAAAGCTTCAGCTATGTTGGCTCCTCTGGTTTGGTTTCCTCTTCTGATGATCTTGTTCAGATTTATAGCTAAGCTCAAGACCATTTATTTACTCACAGATAGAATCAAAATTCAATTTCTACTCCTCAAGCAGGGCACTAAAAACAGGTGTAACAGGGTTATGATTTTTACCTCCTCCCTCCTCTTCTAAGCATAATATATTGAGGTAAAATTTTCATAGTCAGGAGGAAAAAAAAAGCTATCCAGTGTTAGAAACATGTTTAAAGTACATGAATAAAGTTCCAGTCTCTATAAACTGTCCAATACGTCACAGCTCTCCTTATCCACCGACACAGTGGAAATGGTAATGAAGCTAGAAGTTAACTGTACAGAAAAACCCATGATACCCATTCTTGATGAGACTTCCCATCACCATACCCAAATTACTGGGTCTTGGACGCCACCTGCAGCCATTTTTCTCATGTTTTGTGTGGGTAAGTTCCAGCCAGGAGCTCCTTATGTGGAGGAGGGTGCCAAGCTGGAATAGTGATCAGGAGGTTGTTGCAGGATAAACCATGAGAGACGCCAAAGCTCCTTGCTCCCTGCCTGGACCACGACAGCTGCCCCGCAAAGTGAGCTCCCGCTTGTGGGCCCAGTTCCTCTGGTTTCCAGTATTTTCTCCCTGCCAGCCTCACAAGAGATCCCACAAGAGTCAACTCAGGACACACGTTGATTGAGCCCCTGGCATGGAGTCTAGTTCAGAAGTCAGAACTAGATCAGCAGTGCTACATTGTTGAGCCTCTATGACCAAAGCCTTTCCTAGCCTTCTGTAGGCTTGATATTCTCTAGCTGAAAGATTTGTTAGCCACTGCTTCCCCACTACAAGACTGACAAAAGAGTAATGTAGGGTCATTTGAGGATAATTTTGGGTCCAACTGATTATCAAGAGATGGAAGTCATAGGCAGAGGAGTTAATGCATTATCCTCTCAAGTTTGGCTTTACCCTTATATGCATGCTTACAAGACGAGTGTGTGCACACTTGCATGTGTATCCTCCATTCTGTGTATCTTTTCTGTGTGCCAGGTACAATGCTAAGGACATTATAGACATAATCCCATGTACTACTATTTCCTACTTGCAGACCTGGGATCTGAGCCTCAGAGAATTTGTATCACTTGCCTGATGTCACACGGCTAGTCAGTGAGGGCGAGTCTTGCTCTCAGGTCTGTGGGACTCCACATTGGCACTGTCTGGAGGGCCAGACCAGAGCCCTTCTGAAGTTGCCCTCCCTCTTCCACCCCCAGCTGCCCCTTACCCAGGGCTTTCATGTAGCCTTCAAAGTTGTCATTACTCTCCATCTCCCAGGTTCCATTCTGGTCCCTCGTCATGGTGGTGGCCTCTGGTTACCGCGGCTATGTGGTGGATGTCGAGGAGCAGGCTGCAGGGAGAAGGTGCTGAAATGAGCCATTTTTATAGCCTAGTGGATTAGGTTTACAGCTGTGAAGATAACAGGTTCAAAGGTGATCAGCACAGCCCAAAAGGACATTCCTTTGCCTTACAAAGTTCAGAAGGACTACAGGAAACTCCCCATGCTCAAAGTCCTGGCCTGGCCAAGCATGGGTATTCTGGTGAACCTTACCATACTCACAGCCTTGGGACAGCCCATTTTTGGCTGGCTGGGCTCCCACACAGAACACTCCATTCAGCACTGGAGGGAAACAAAGACACAGTACCCACTCCCACATACACTACAGGCCCCCAGCTCCTAGGCCTCAAACCTGGAATCTGTCAGGACGATGAAGCCAAGAAGATGAGAACTCACACCTGTGGAGCTCTGCTGTACTCAGTACTGGTCAGTGTATATTTTTCATCTTGCTTTGTCTCACAAGACCTCTGAATTACATTTAGCCATCTCCATTTTACAGATGGGAGCAGATCAAGGAGGTTAAATCACATGCCTAATAATGACTTGTAAGTGGCTTAGCTGGGATTCAAACCCAGGCCTCTCCGGCTTCAAAGCTCTTTCCTTCAGAGTGTGCCAAGTTCCACTTGGAAAAGTTAGAGGTGGACTTGGGAGCCTGACACTGACTTGCTTCCCCAAGGACCTCTAAACAGCAGGGTTATTCAAGAAAAATATGTTCTAGAAGAATGAGTCTGCTGAAAGCAAGCAGAACCTGGAGGGAGGCCAGATGGCAGGCAGAGAAGCAGTGGGACTCTGCTTCAACACCATGGGGCAAGCTGAAGCTCACCTTGACCAAGACAGGGGGCGTAACTGACATTTGGGAAAGGACTCTTGGTCAGGGCTGTTCTTCAAACTCGCTGTCCCCGTGGGTCAGAAAATGGGTTGATTTACTGCTCTGCCACATGGTTCCGAGAGAGGGGGCCTGATCAGGGGCTCCTACACTCTGAAGAATAGAAGTGTGTGCTGGAGATAGATAAGCCACGAGTATCAAAAAGCGAGGCCAATCTTGATTGACACCTTGAGGCTCTAACATACATATTCTTGTACTGTGAAATTTAAGTAAATGGTTCTGTCTATACGTGGTTTGGGGGATGTAAAATAGCACATTTGTTTTTCCATAAGTACACTGGAGTCAAGAAGACACACAGTAAAAAATGACCCAGCTGCTGTCAGAAGGCCAATATAGGATAAAGGGAAGAGGGGAGTAAACGACAACTTCCCCACAAATAGAAAATGAGTGAAAGCAGAAGTGGACAGAAAGGGAGCCTTGGGATTCATCCTTTCAGGTCTAGCAGAAGCTGCTGTAGGCTGAGCATTCATGCTCCTGGGTTGGAAAGGCCGGTCTTCCCCTCCAGGTTCAGATTCAAGGGCCTCCCACTCTGCCCCTCCTACCCCAACTGAGTCCCCTATAGACCTCTCTTGCAAGAAAGTAATGAAAAGTTGGCCTGAGAAGGGAGGAGGCTGGGGGGCAAAAATGGGGTTGCTAATTGCAATAAGCCAAGGACTTGGGTTTTAATGGGCATGGAGGGTTATTCACCCTGTGCAAGGGAGGAAGTTGAAACTGAGATGCTTGCATTAATGCAACACTTGAGGGACTACTTCTCCAGTGAGTGTGTGAAATAGCCAAAGCTGCCCGGAGACAACAAGAATGTTTATCTATTTGGCCAAGGATCTATATGAGTTAAAATAAAGTTCTGCCCTGCTCTAACTCTGGTTTGGGGTTTGAATATATGCTTTCTGCTAGCCAAACTATTAAAATGAATAAAGTCCTTAGCTTGCAACCCTTATAGACTGCTGGAAAGAAGGAGATGTAAAAACTGTCTGGAGGGACACACCTTTGAACAACACCAACCAGAATTCCCTGTAATAAAGCCATGGCAAATATGATTTCATAATCGCAAATGATAAAACACACATGAAAATAATCTGCCTAAAGCAAACATTAGCAAAAACATGCAAATTAGACTTCCAAAAACTTCAGATAAAAAAAATGATCAGAAACAAACTATAAAATAAGTGTGTGTAAAGTGAGTAAAGAAAATTACGAGCCCTTAAAAACATAAAAAGGATAAAGTGATTTTCTTAAAGCTGGATTAAAAAGTAACCAGAGAGAAATTTTAAAGTATAGTCATTATAATTAAAAAGGTAATAGATGAGTTAAACACAGTTGAAAAGAGAATTAGTAAACTGGAATGTAGAGCCAAGAAAAGTACCCCAATGTATGTAACACAGAACACACTGGTGGAAATCCAGAATATAAAAATAAAAATAAAATTCTAAATCTTCCAGAGGAAAAAATAAGTCATGTAGAGTACCTATAAAGAAACAATACAGAACAATCTCATTTATAGTTGCATCAAAAACCATAAAATACCTCAGAATAAATTTAACTAAAGAGGTGAAAGTTGTTCTCTGAAAACTATAAGACATTAAAGTAAGAAATTGAAGAAGATATAAATAAATGGAAGAATATACCTTGCTGATAGATTGGAGATATTAATATTGTTAAAATACCCTTACTACCTAAAGCAATATACAGATTCAATACAATCCTATTAAAACACCAATGGCTTTCTTCTCAGACTTAGAACTAATCTTAAAATTATAGGGAACCACAAAAGACCCTGAGTAGTCAAAGAAACCTGGAGAAGGAACAAAATTGGAGGTAGTATGCGCGCTCATACAAAACTATACTACAAAGCTACAATAATCAAAAAAGCATGGCATTGGCATAAAACAGATATACAGATCATTGGAATATAATAGAGAGCTCAGAAATAAAACCTCACTTATCTGGTCAATTAATCTACAACAAGGGAGGCCAGGATATACAGTGGAGAAAAGGCAGTGTCTTCAGTAAATGGTGTTAGGAAAACTGGACAGATACATGAAAAACAAAAAAAAGAAAAAGAAATCGGACCACTTTCTTACATTATATACAAAAATAAATTCAAAATGGATCAAAGACCTGAAACCATAAGACTCCTAGGGGAAAAAAAATAGGCAGTAAATTTTTGACATCAATACACACACACACACACACACACACACACATACACACACACACACACGGAATATTATTCAGCAATATCTTTTTGAATATGTTTTCCTGGACACAAGAAACAAAAGAAAAATAAATAAATGGAACTCTATTAAACTAAAAAGTTTTTTCACACAGAAGAAAACTATCAATAGAATGAAAAGATAACCCACTGAATGAGAGAAAGTATTCACCAATGACACATCTGGTAAGGGGTTAATATCCAAGATATATAAGGAACTCATACAGCTGAACACCAAATAAACAAAACAAAACAAAACAAAACAAAAATCCCCAAATCCAATCCAACTTAAAAATGAACAGGGGACCTTAATAAATATTTCTCCAAAGAAGACACATACAGGTGGCCAATAGATATATGAAGAGATGATTACCTTCACTAATCATCAAGGAAATGCAAATTAAAACTACAATGAGATATCACCTCACACCTGTCAAAATGGCTATAATCAATAAATCAACAAATAAGTGCCCGTGAGAATGTAGAGAAAAGAAAACACTCATTTACTGTTGGTAGAACTGTAAATCAGCACAGCCACTATGAAAAACAGTGTGGTGCTTCCTCAAAAAATTAAAAATAGGGCTGCCATACAATCCAGCAATTCCACTTCTGAGAATTTATCTGAAAGAAACAAAAACACTAATTTGAGAAGATATATACACGTCTATATGCATTGCAGAGTTATTCGTAATAGCCAAGATATGAAAGCAATCTAGGTGTCTATCAACAGATGAATGGATAAAGAAGAGGTGATACATATATACAATGAGATATTATTCAGCAATAAAAAAAATAAAATCTTGTCATTTGTGACAACATTGATGGACCTAGAGGGTATTATGTTAAGTGAAATAAGTCAGACAAAGACAAATACCATATGATTTTATTTATATGTGGAATCTAAAGAAACAAAAAAGACAGATCCACAGAGATAAAGAACAAGCTGATGGTTGCCAAAAAGAAGAAGAGTGGGGGATGGGTGAAAAATAAAATAACTCAGACATTAAAAAAAGAAATAAGACAAAGATCAGATTGTTATCAGACTTTTTAACAAATTATTGAAGACAGCAATGGAACAATATCTTACAATGATGAGAGAAAATACTTTCAAATTAGAATTCTAAACCCAGCCAACTTCATTAAAGTATGAGAGTTTTAAAAACTAAAGTATGTTCAGGTTCACACCACAAAGTCAGGAAATCAAGACATATCAACTTAAGAATCAGAAGCAAAAGAGAAGAGTCTCACAAATAATGGGAAGACAAAGAAATATGCCCCACTTGAAGGGAAAGGAGGAATCCCCAGAAAGACAACTAAATGACAGAGAGGCAAGCAAACTATCAGATACTGAGTTCCAAACAACGGTTTTATGGAAGCTCAAAGAGCTCAGTGAGCTCAGAGAGATTTATAAAAAACTACAGGGAAACTACGAGGAACTTACTGCAAACTATATCAGCATGAAAAGGGACATAGAAACTATCAAGAAGAGACAAGAGGAAATGAAGAATACAGTTTCTGAATTGAAGAACACAGTAGAAGGAATCCAAAGCAGGCTAGATGAAGCTGAGGACCGAATCAGAAAGCTGGAGGACAAGGAGCAAGTTTTAGCCATGATGACATCATATCCTTCTTTTATAAGGAATAAACCTTTAAAAATAAATATGTATTTGTCCCAGTTACAGAAATGGATTTTTATAACTGCAGTAATCACCAGTTGTAGATAGAAACTTGAAAGATGGCTTTGAAATAAAAGTTATATCTCATACAAATAAACTTACTGTGAAAGAAACTTTGTTCCTGTGTTCAGAAACAGGTGTCTTACTAAAATTATTATTCTGTTATCTATTCTGTCACAATGGAGATGTTATCGCCTTTGTTTGAAAAATCTAATTATTACAGCAT